TCAACCAAAGCTATCTAGACTAGAGACCCTGCACACCATGTAGTACAATGATATTGTAAAGTAAGTAGCAGTCTCATTTTTAGACTTTTTATTGAAACAAAACAATATGGACCATCCATCCATCCATCCATTCGCTTATCCTTTTCAGGGTCGCGGGGGGCGCTGGAGCCTATCCCAGCTGTCGTAGGGCGAGAGGCAGGGTACACCCTGGACAGGTCGCCAGTCTGACGCAGGGTCAACACACAGACAGACAACCATTCGCACTCTCATTCACTCCTAGTGGCAATTTGGATTATCCAATTAACCTATCCCCACAAGCTGCATGTCTTTGGACAGTGGGAGGAAGCCGGAGTACCCAGAGGGAACCCACGCAAACACGGGGAGAACATGCAAACTCCACACAGAAAGACCCCGGCCTGATGATGGAATTGAACTCAGGACCTTCTTGCTGTGCGGCAACAGTGCTAACCACCGCACCACCGTGCTGGACCATTTTGAGAAAAAAAAAACAACCTATGTTTTACCCTTCTAAAATCCCTACTGTCTTTGCAACCTTGTTTTTAGTTTGGGTTTTTTTGTTTGTTTGTTTTGTTTTGTTTTTTGCAGCCACAGAAATTGTGTAAAATAAATGGGGGGGCTGTCCGGGATCCTTTTTGTTTCCATGGGTGAGTGTTTAATTAAGAAAATCCTCTTCAGCAAGAGTATTTTAGCTGTGTTGCTATGCTGTCCTCCCATCTAAGCATGTGTTCGTTATTTTGCTTTGGTACATTACTAGACTTTGATAGTTAAGTGCATTTCTGGCCTGCTTCTGACTTTAGAGTTTATCATTAAAGGGCCAGACTGATATACACTGAAGAGATATGATACAGTATAAGACAATACAATGATAGTTTTTATTTATTTTTTTCTAATTTTTTAGTTCATTTTTATTTCTTAAGATGAGATTTTTTGAAATATTCCACGTTCTTGCTCCCAGTAGAAAGGTGACACCACTCTCAAGTTGGTACAGTAAATATGAAGCAACCATCAGCATATCAGCAGACTGGCTTCTTGGCTTGTGCTAAAGTCACCTATTCACATAGCATGCTATATTAAATTTGTTCAATTAATTAAAACACATTTTCCATTTATACTTGAGAAGGCTTTGAGGATTGTAATCAGCAAGAAAGTACAGCAGATTACCATAGTTTAAAGAAGGAATGGCATTATTACTATTAGTAACATAAAGCATATTGCTGCAGTACATATCATATCAAGTGTGTTTGAAAGGTACGTCAAAGGTGTCATTATAAATCTGTGATACTTTTATACTAAACTCTTGATATACAAATACCTGAAATCATGTCTAAACTTGAACTTAGTAAAATTGATACCCTTATGACAAAAAGTACTTACTGAGGCAGTGACTTTGCTAAGAGCCAAAAATACATATTCTCAAAATCTAAACTTAATCTTTCAATGTGTAACCTCAAGTCAAACTTTGAGGTGTGCTGCTGAAAGGAGGGCGATGGGTTTTTTCATTAGAGATGGGAGCAAATGCAAACTCTTGCAAATGTGTGTATGTGCGAGTTTGTGACACTCTGAGGATTCAGTCAGAGCTGGAGGTCGAGCCGGGGAATGATGAGGTGGCGCTTTCCTCCCTTTTATTCTTTTCTCCCTCTCTGTTCTTCCTGAAAGACAGATTGCATTCCATCCTCCCTGTAAAAAAAAAAAAACGAACAGGCAGACACATGGATAATATGAAGGTATCTGCAGTGTGTGTGTGTGTGTGTGAGAGAGAGAGAGAGAGAGAGAGAGAGAGGAGGAGGAGTGAATTAGAGGCTTGCTTGGCCAGCTTCAGACTGTGCAACGTGTCTGATGCTGGTGGATCAGATGGCAGAAAGCTACTGTGTGTCTCCCCACAGCTCATCTGCTCCATAATGTCTGCTTTCTGCTTAATTACAGCTCACCTGCAGTCGGGCCGGCGCTGCACACAGAGTAATGTTGGGGGGGGGCAGAGAACCTTCTATATAAACCTGTATTTGTACTGGGGGGGGAAATTCAACAGCAAAAAAGGGCTCTTATTATTTAGAGCCGATAACAATCATAATCTGTGCAAACCCCACAATTGTGCAGGTATTTCTAAACAGAGGCAGTTTTAGCCCACTGCAGCTGCTCACTCCAAAAATGCTAACATCTGGTTCAGTCATATGCTATTTTTTTAACAGTCATCTGTTATTTAATCTGTCATTTGATTGTTCCATCCTTATGGAACACAAGTTAAAATATCAAATACATAGTATGATGATTCAAGTAGATCTTAGTAGTCTTTCTAACACTTTCAGACATAATTAGAATGTTTGGGTTTTTTGTTGTTTTTTTCAAGTTTGCAGGTAAATTGTCTCTTTAAGGGTTCGGTTCTTATCAAGTCCTAAATTTCCAACTTCAGAGCATCTCAAAATGACTTATGTATTTGTTTTTCTCAAAACCTGTCGGGTTTTTGTTTTTTGTTTTTTTTACATTGACCATGGTGATATGATTTAACACATTTCTAAGCGTAAATGTTACACAAGATTACTATTATCTCATAAAGTGACAATTATTACACATGGTACCCTTTTTATGTACTGAGGCTCCAGTTCATCCAGAACTGAAGGGGACAGCATGAGTGGTCTAGTCTATCCGTACATGCTGAAGAAGAATAAGAACACTCACAGTTGCAGAAAAAATTATTGTGCATTTGTTTACAAAAGTGTTGTTCAGCGTTTCTGTTTCTACTGTGGTGATGGAGGACCCACCAGAATTCTAAGGGGAATAAAACTGCACAATCAATCTTGTTAAAGCAGGTTTTTAAAATAACCTTCCCCAAAGTAAATGATTTTCTGTCTTCCCAGAACCGGTGTAAAAGAGGCTCTAATAGTTATGCAGTGGGCGCATACACAAAGTTTAGACTATAACGACCACCAGAGAGTTTCTGCTCTGGACATTGTCCCATGGTTTCATGTTTTTTGACACAAAAGTAAAAAGTAATCACAGGACTGATTGACGGACCTACAGTATCTACTTTTTAAAATGGAAAATCAGAGTGTGTTGAGTTATGATGACGTATACTGAACCAACCTCTGCAGCCCATTCTTTATCTCTGCTTTGGGCCTCATAAGCTACCATTAACATGCGAAACGACACAATCGTAGCTAGCAATTTATGATTTTGGCCACCCTTAAGGTCATCCACCTTTATTGTCCTTTTTACTATAATCGGGGTCGTAATTTACAAAACAAACATTTTGTTGTACTCAGCAAGATTTAACAATAGCTATCAGAATTAAAAACTCCCGAGGAAACAGTTTACTAGGGTCTGAGCTTTTATACAGTCAAATGTCTGTTTTTAGTCAGAGGAGTCACCCTCTGCTGGCTATTAGAAATAATGCATGTTTAGGACATTTCCGCTGTTAATTCCCTTTACAAACCCAGAAGCTACCTCTATCTTTTACATGTGTTCTGTGAATTTGATAAGGAAAAAGGCCCCAAAAAATTGTGAAATAAACAGGATGACATGTGAAGTGTTTGAAATTAACAATCTCTTTACTAAGGTTTCCTGGGCTTACTGACGTAAGCATGTATTCCAAAGTTAGGAGAAACCAAACATGCAAACCCCATATAGAACAGGTCTACCTACCCGAGTGTGAATCCAGGAGGCGATAGTTTTAACATATTAACCACTATGCTCAGTAATGTTCTGAATGTATTTCCATCAGACCTGAATCAGGTGATCAAAAACAATGACACAGTTCTACAAATGCTAACTTTTCTTGTGTCACTTATAATTCTATAACAGAAAACAAATCCCTTCCGTCATCGACTTTCAGCAGATTCTTTTGGTTATTTATTGATTGTGATCCATGGACTGTCACAAGTGAGCTTTACTGGGACACTCCAGTCTTTTAGTTCTGCAGTATAGTTTGTGGACTTGTGAAAGGCAGATTTCTCTTTTTACACACATGCATACTGTATTAAAATAAGTCATTAGGTGGACTTTGTCAGTGTGATGATCTATGTTCCAGTGTAAATGTCTTCCTCCCCCTCACCCCAACTGGTCACAGCAGATGTCTGGCCCTCTCTGATTCTGCTGGAGGTTTCTTCCTGTAAAAATAGCTTTTCTTTCCGCTGTCACCAAGTTCTTGCTCATAGGAGGTTGTCTGATTGTTGGCATTTTCTATGTTACTTTAGAGTATAAAGCATATTGAGGCCACTGCTGTTGTGATTTGACACTGTATAAACTGAAATTGAATTAAATTAAATGGAATCTAATAGAATCAAACTGAACTGAATTGAAATAGTTCTAAACATGGAGCATGTTATTATACAGTTCTTTGAAGAATTTTTCCAAATCTGACATGAAACCTGCACGCTGATCACAACGAAATTTAGAAACGAAAGCAGAAGATACACATACAGCCTGAGGCAAGTGTCTGTGAGGCTGTAGCCATGTTCAGGACATGTTAACACTCAAACAGATACAACTATAAAAACACTCTGTTAAGCTGAAACAACTGGCTCAAATCTACAACCAAAACCCCAACTCAAACCAGAACTACAAGATGTAAAACTGGACTAAAACTGATAGATTCTGAGACATCAGATTGTGAAAAAAAACCCAGAAAACTGAATCTAAACAGTCTTAGCTTTAGCTCAAATCAAAGCGAATCAGGAAGTGGACCACAACCAGGAATAAATTCTGGATTAAACCCGTGCCTGTTGCAGGAGATCCTCCTCCAACCGTCCGATGCTCTTATGGATCAGGTTTCCTCCTGCTCAGCCCCCCTCCCCTCCTGCTCCTTCCTCTTCTGATCCAAACTATAACCCTTCTGGTGTGGAGGCATGGAAGGAGGGACCTTCTGTTTTTCCCTTCTTCTTTCTCGCTGTTTTTTTTTTTTTTTCCTTTGAAGGAGTCGTCCATTCTTGTCTTCCCTAAACGTGAGCAGAAGCAGCAACGGGGTAATGAGGGTGCGTCCCTACAGTCGGTCCAGTCTCCGGTACCTCCCAGTTCTTGAGGCTCCCATATAAAAACCCTTGTGGAAAGTCAGTGTAGGCAGTAGGGAGTTTTCTGCTGGGGTCAGGAGGATTGTGAACAGACGAGTGGATCCTGCCCCAAACACCCGTGTATGAGTGGAGTGTAGCAGAAAGAAACATCCCCAACTTTTTTTCCTCTCTTGCCTCAAAGAGTCTACATGTCTAGTGGCATCTAGACATGTTCAGCTTTGTGGATTTGCGGCTGGCGCTGCTGCTCAGCGCAGCAGTGCTTCTGGTCAGAGCGCAGGGCGAGGACGACCGTAAGTTTCATCACTGTTTACTGGAGCTTCTCAGACTTTTTCCCCTTTTACTTTATTGCATTTTTTTCTTTACTGGGTTTGGAAAGTGGATTTTCTCTACGTGGCTGGACGGCTTCTGAGATCTTAGAGAAGAGGAGAAAGGAAAAGTTTTAAGTAGAATTAAGTTTGCTTTGTTGTGCTCTATTGTCTCCAGACAGATAGACAGATAAAGCAGGGTGTGTTTAATGCATTGGGCATCTCAAGAAGGCCCCTGTCTCTCCCTCTCCTTGTGTTTGTCTAAGTCTCTCCAACCCCCACCTCCCCACCATGCATGCAGAGCGAGTTGCTGCAAGTTTTCCATTCTCTCCTCCAGGCGAGGGTTATCCAGCTGCATAGGTTTGAACCTCCCTTTACCCCAAAATTGGAGCATTCAAATGCCTAACCCTAATCCTGTGGCATTTTATCAGTTTGACACGACTACCTGCGTCACCTGTACCCATTCAAAAAATGGTTTCCACGAGATATGAGCCAGAAGGCGAAGCCTCTCACAGGCCTGATTGATGTGACAGGGAATTTGCAGCCTGAGGCCAAGTGCTGAGTTGGACAGGTGACTGAGAGGGAGAGTAGGAAGAAAACAGGGAGCGGAGGAGGAGAGGAGCAGGCGTAGTCTTGTCTGCCGGAGTATTTGACCTCCACAGCCTGAGCCAGCTTTCAGCTTTAGAGCCCACAAAAACTCAGGTGGACTTTTGAAGAGATCATTTTGCACAGAAAGAGGGAAGCGGATGCCTCTGCTGGTGCTTAGAACAACCAGTATTCTCCTCTGAGAAGACAAAGGAAAAGCAGTTCAGCTCTGGAAACAAGAGCCCAGGAGGCGAAACTCGGTTTTTCCAGATGTTCCTCTTCTTTTGGAAAGGACTCAGCTGTGCATAAAAAGCAGATGTTTTCTGGCCCTCTGAACGATCTCACAACGCCACCCAGAGGCTGCTCTCAGCACTGCCAGACACATCTGGCCGCCACGTCCCCCCGTGCCATCCCCTCCCCCTCTTTTCTTTCCACTCTTTTTTTTTCTTCTCTAATTGCATCCACATGTGGAGTGTTTCCACCAGTCACTGCCAAGCCTACAGCTTCTGCTTTTCCCCTCTGAGCTCAGCACTTTGGTACGCTGGAAGATTTAAAAGCACTCTGAGCAGAGTCCCAGTTTGAGTTTTGCTGAGAATCAAATGCAGCCGCCACAGTGTCGGGGTGGAAAATATGACTTTGAGTTGATGTACAGGGAGATTAAATCCCATTTTACTGCGGGGTTAATGAGTGTCTGTGTGTGCAATGATGGCGTGACCTGCAGACAGACACGGCACACTGGTGCCCTCTCTGTCACCTCTGACCTGTTCCGGTCTGATTCCAAAGCCCCCCAGTTCCTGTCCACGTCTTTATCACCGCTAAGCTTTGTGTATTTATGTTGCTGCTGTCATTATTTCCTGTTTCACACGTAGATTTTACACCAGTTTAGCAATCTATCTTTTTCTAACATTTTTCTCCAAAAAAAGTGTTTTATTATTTTTTCACTGTAATTCAAAATTCTCATCTCAGTTAATCAGTCTGACTAAATTTGAGAACAAATCAAATTTTTTAATTTGAGAAAATGATCTACATATTCAGGGTTTTTTCACAATTTATTTTTAGCTTCATAATTAAAGCACTTTAGTTTCCTGCCCTAGTTTTACCTGGACTCCCACCAGTGTACATACTGAGTCTGCATGTGCGTTCAGGTAGCTCACCTGTCTCTTACCGTCCCTCTCCCTCTGTGTCGCCCCCCTCAGGCACGGGCAAAAGCTGCACTCTGGATGGCCAGGTGTTTGCAGACCGGGATGTGTGGAAGCCGGAGCCATGTCAGATCTGTGTGTGCGACAGTGGCACGGTGATGTGCGATGAGGTCATCTGCGAGGATACAACGGACTGCCCCAACCCCATCATCCCCCACGACGAGTGCTGCCCCATCTGCCCCGATGACGGTATAATAACTGCATCTCTCTCTGGACAAAGCACAGATACACAAAACAGTTTTTGCACATCACATGTTCTCATTTAAACTGCCCCCATGACACGAATCCATCATCTGTCCTCAATGACATGCCAAGAGTTACTGGTGTGAGTGAGACACTGTCTTTGAAAAAAAAAAATTGTTTCTGTTTGAACACTTAAAGCATTATTATGAGCTTTTCTGGGTGCTTTCATCTGTTAATGCCAAACCTGTTTGCTCTCTGCAGGCTTCCAGGAGCCTCAGACTGAGGTAAATATACATTTTCCACTGACACTTGTAAATAAGTTTGTACAACTCCCATGAGATCAGATACACATTGAACACACTGTTTTCTTCTTTTCACCACAGGGAACCGTGGGAGCTCGTGGACCCAAGGGAGACAGGGTAGGTTCACACCCTCTTCTTTCCTTGTTTTACTTGTGGAGTAACTTTTGGTTGTGTGGTGAGCTCAAGATCTGTCACTGTTTTTGCTGGAGCTGATCAGTTACACTGATAGAATGTAGCTCCATGTGTTTTAAATCAGGCAGATGTGGAAACGTGACTCAGATGACTTTGAAATGCAGTGAAACTGCAAACTGCTTTTAGCTTTCATTACACATCATACTTAATCTAAAACCATTTACCCATCTTCATGCAGTGAGGTGGGAGAAAACAGTATCTTACATGTAAAGTTTCTGCAAACTGCAGTTTTTGATTTGTGTTTTTAAATGTCACCCTAGGGCACTGGTTGTCCTTTGTTACATCCAATTTTGATAGTTTAAGTCTGTTTTTTTTACCTCACACAAAACATGATGAGGTCAGGTTAAATCCTGCAGAGCAGCATGACTTGGCTTACATTTCAAAATCAAACCAAATATTATCATGGAGAAATATTATTACCTATATAAGGATTTGGTTTTTATCAATGAAAAAACAACTTCTTTATCCATGATTTTCAACCGTGGAGCTGCATTCATTTAAATTGGCGCAATCTTAGGAGGAAATTATGACTTCTGATTATTTATTTGGATTGGATTTGATTGAACCTTCATTGGTCACTTTACAAGTTGAATCTTAGACTCTAAAAGAGGCTCTGTGGATCAGCTGTGTTGTTTTTAAGAGTGCATTTAATAGTGTAATAATAATGTATTTCGTGGTGCTATTTTGGCTACCGAGCATGATGGTGACAAACAGGTGACTGTTCCTGGTTAGTCTCATAGTCAGCCTCAAAGTAAACTGCACTTTTAATGATTTAAAAGCCTTTGAAGACACAAACATGGAATCAAATATTAACCAAACATATGTCTTCAATGATAAGGCCAGACCATAGGAAATGCACATGATTAATGGTTTAACAAATCAGTTTTCTGTTTTAGAGTATTGGACTGTGGACATCAGAACTTTTAATCCAAGCGACCTTCTTGAGTATGACCCTGATTTCCTCTATCTACAGGGTCCTGCTGGTCCCCCTGGTAGAGATGGTATGCCTGGCCAGCCTGGACTGCCTGGACCTCCTGGCCCACCTGGACCCCCTGGCCTTGGTGGAGTAAGTTGTTGAATTTTAGTTATTCTGTATTTCACTCATTAAAGGTCAATGGTGGCCGGTCAGTTAGTAACGTAACTATGTTGTTTAATGTATGCAAATGATTGACAGCGTGTTAATCGTGCTGCAGCTAGAGCGGAAAAAGTCAACTGTCAAAGCTGAAGCCCAAATGTGATGTGATATTAGTGTGATGAGCTGTGTCTGGAGTTTGGCACAGTGTCTCTGATCAGAAGGTCAAGAAGTCATTACTAAGGATGGAACGACGCCTCATTTCCTTTTGAATGGAAAGCAGACAATATTCTGGAAGTGGACAAACTTTAGAAAGTTAGAGTTTGCTAAGCTACCATTTTTAATTTTAGAGGTTTATTTACATTCTAATATACCCACTGACTCCAGGTCTGATTTAGAAATCTGATCTGACATCTCCAAAGACTGAATTCTGCTACAGGATCATTGTTCCACATGCTAGTCTAGCACTGCATATCTTCATGCCTCTGTGCAGCCTGTTGTTGACATGACTGCTAATATACCAAAAATATTGATTGAAAATATTTTAAATAGTAACAAAATATAATTTATTATTTGCTGATTCATTTTACCATTTGCCTCTGTGCTAAAATATTAAGAGAACACACTGTCACACTCACATTCTTTAATGAGATACTTAGTTAACATTCAAAAGCTAATTTGCATTTCTGTATCTCACTTAAACATGAGTCCATACTTTTGTAGAATCAACTTCTAATTAAATATTCTATGTTTCAGTTTGCCAATAACTTCGACTACATATGTGTATGCTAAAGTAATAACTATAGCGTGGATAACATGTATAACTTTACCGAGGGTTAGCATGATGCTGTTTTAGATATGGTTAAATATCAGCGTCAAATTTTCCATGATTCAGGACTTTAACATCTATTAACATACTTCAGCATTCGCTCCATGTAACCACAGTTCAGTAAACTCCTACAGTCTTCCCTGTGTATACATTATCAGTGACATACTTCTATGCCAATGGTCCACGTTAAGCTGGACAATTAGAGACTTGGCAGTCACCATTAACATATGTTTGACTTCAGACAGAATGTTCCCTATCTACATTATACAGTATGTATCCTCCAGAGACACCTTTAAATACTACTGTTGAGGTCAAAGGTCAATGACTTGATACGCACTGCTCATTTTAGAACTGGATTGTTATGAGTGGCATTAGCATTGAGATTCCATATCATCAAATCTGCTGCTGCAGTTTTGTTATTGTGTTTGCTTTTATTTGGAAATATGAAAAAATTATGCAGTGGGGAAGTGCATGGTAAAAGAAACAACAGACAACTATACTTGATGGAACATGACACAACTATGCAAGATTTAGATATTTAATTTGGACTATGGCTCAGATGATCCAGAATCAGTGATTCTATTCAACTGGAAAAAGTACATTTAGTGTTGAGATTTGAAATGCATCATAGCTAACATGTAGCCTATGTCATGTCACAACACAGATGGAATTTAATATTTTTTCATCATAAAAACAATCATTTTGGTATTTTTGTGAGATTAACATGTCTGTGTTTATTTTTTTCCAGAACTTCTCCCCTCAGATGTCCGGTGGCTACGATGACAAATCTCCTGTCATGCCTGTGCCTGGACCCATGGTAGGTTACATATGTATTTAAATACACTATATTCAAAATATTTCCATGCGCAGCATCTGAGCTTTTCTCTGTTGGATTGATAGGGCCCAATGGGACCCCGTGGACCTCCTGGACCTCCTGGATCTAGCGTGAGTATATGATGGGGATTTTTATGCTTAGGTTAAAAACTGAAACCTGGCATGCTAGCTGGCATGAATCCAGTCCTTCCTTTTTCTGCTGCAAATAACACAAAGACAGTGTTTTTTTCTGATTGATTACTATTAGGCAGTAGTATTGATATTGATTACTGTTAGGCTGCAAAAACATCTTTTATTTTCTTGAAATAAATTTTGAAAAATTAACAAACTGCTCCTTACAGTGTGTTGAAAAAGTGAGTAGCATCAACATATTTGGTGTAGTGATGGTGTTTGTGTTTGTTACCAACTATAGGGACCTCAGGGATTCACTGGCCCCCCTGGTGAGGCTGGAGAGCCTGGATCTCCTGTGAGTATTCAGGACAGGGAAACAAATGCACGTTGCACTTTGCTGTGATGTTAACACTCTCACCTTATGTTTGATTTTCGCTTCAGGGTGCCATGGGTCCCCGTGGAGCTGCCGGCCCCCCTGGAAAGAACGGCGAGGATGTAAGTGCACTGGATTGATATCATATCAGTTCATCTACCTATATATATATATATAGGTAGATATTATATTAAAAAAGAGACTGAGGAATGTCTTGAGACATCATTTCGTCCCCATCTCCCCAACTCTCTTTCTCTCAGGGTGAGTCTGGCAAACCAGGTCGCCCCGGTGAGCGTGGACCTTCTGGCCCTCAGGTAAGTTGCTGATTCTTACCACCGATATGTAAAACAAAAACAGAGCTGAGATAATAACTTTTGTCACCTCCTTGTTTTTTTGTTTTGTTTTTTTCCCAGGGAGCTCGTGGTTTCCCAGGAACCCCAGGTCTGCCTGGCATCAAGGGACATAGAGTGAGTCAGAAGTTGTGCCACCCCATTCAACTCATATTCAACTCAAAATAAAAAATGTTGAAAGTCGTGGCTGGAAACTTCATCTTTGCATGTCTCTTATTCTGTGTAGGGATTCAGTGGCCTGGATGGTGCCAAGGGAGACAGTGGCCCCGCTGGACCCAAGGTGCCCCTCCCTTTGTTATAACACTTGTTCTCACCACATAAGTTGTAGAAAAAAGTCACCCACAGGTGGGCTACTTCACTTATAGTGCAGTGTTGAGTAGCTGTAATCGTAGCAGTGCTATAAATGACAGTAGTAATTGAAAAAGTAGTTGTAATATTGGCACTGATATCTAACTCATAGTGGTCCTGGTGGTAGGAGCACTAGTGCCAGAATTTGAAGTACAATAAAATTAATCGCATTTAATTGTAATTATAGACAGCACCATATCACAACTCCCTTTTAACAGGAAGAGATCTCTGGCAGAACTATCAATATGGTTCTCAAATGAGTACCGTTTAGTGTTTAAAGACACACTGAAAAAATTAACCCATAGATGCAGAAAAATCATTAAAACAGTTTCAGCATTTCCTCCATTATAACCAGTGTATTTTCTTCACCTACCACTCCACCGACAAGTTGGTCATACAACATATTTTAACCTAAAGCTAAATACTACTAGTATTAACAGCTAACAGTTTGAGTATCAGTGTGGACAGTAAAAGCTGTGGCTACAATAATGCTACAAAAAGCAGTAGTATCAACCATTTAAACACTAGCAAGTTACATTAGCAGTCACTGGCTACTTTTTAGTTATAGCAGCTTGATTGGCTAAATGCTGCATTGACGAGCATAATTTCTGAAAGTTTGATAAGGTTTCTAGAGTTTAATCAATGATTCTAATCTTCTCGCCGGCCCATGTGTTTCTGTCCATTTAGGGAGAGGCTGGCACCCCTGGTGAGAATGGAACCCCTGGTGCTATGGTGAGTAAAACAAGCACCCCGTCTCTGCTACATAATTATAGTAGTATAGTTTCTTCTCTCCACAACTGATTTTGGCTAACTGACACTGTCTTTGTCTATCTCAGGGACCTCGCGGTCTGCCTGGTGAGAGAGGCCGTGCTGGTGCTACTGGAGCTGCTGTGAGTCCATACATTACATAGTTGCAGCTAGTGAAATCAATTTATTAGTGAATTGAGAAACCAGTCGACCACTCACGTTTGTCTTTGACCTGCAGGGAGCTCGTGGTAACGATGGCGCTGCTGGTGCTGCTGGACCTCCTGTAAGTCTTTCATTGTCCAAAGCTTCAGTTCTTAAAATCTCAGCTTTGTTAGCACTGACCCAAAAAGATGCACTATGTATATCTGAGTATCTGTGTTTTTGTCTCAGGGTCCCACTGGCCCCGCTGGACCCCCTGGATTCCCCGGTGGCCCTGGAGCCAAGGTATAAACTGCTCCTGACCCGCTCCAGTAATCCTCAGTGCTATCCATTTTTCTTCTGAAACGCAGTATAATCTATTTCCTCTCCTCTCTTAGTTGTGTTTTTACTGTGCCGACTTTGAATAATTTATTTTCTGAAGCATGTAGGTAGCCAACACGTACACCTGACATGTAGAATGCAGGTCATAAAAAACATCTGAGCTCCCACTACTGTTTGAGTATAAACAGTAACTATTAAGAAATTTGATGGATGGGCGCTATTTTTATTTTTATTTTTTGCAGAGTTCTCAGTATATTTTAAAGCTTATGATAGAAATTCACAGTAATTGTCTGTGCATGTGGAACTGGGTCATAGCTGAAGCTGTGGGGTTCTTTTTGGCTGAGGTTAGATGTTGAGTGTTTTCTCTAAAACAAATCTTCTGTTTATGCCGACAATTTTATCTTTTTTTTTTTTGTCTTCCACCACCAAGCTGTTTGTATTACTAAATAATCTTTTCTTTCTCCCCAGGGTGATGCTGGAGCTCAGGGTGCTCGTGGACCCGAGGGCCCTGGTGGAGCTCGTGGTGAGCCCGGAAACCCCGGACCTGCTGGCCCAGCTGGACCTTCCGTAAGTATGAGTGACTGTAATAAAGATCCTTGATGAAAACAACAACAAATGGGCCACAAAAAATAGGCCACTAGAATCTGATTCAAGGCAAAATAAAACAATTTACATTATCATTTAAATTGTTAAAAGAAATTAAAAATAATTCTGCCTTCTGGGACAATAAATAAACTTCCTTCCTTCTCCTCTCAGGGAAACCCTGGAGCTGATGGAGCCGCTGGAGCTAAGGGAGTACCTGTGAGTATCTTTAAACAAATTTACTCTATTTTTAATACTTTCTTATTTTTACTAAAGGTACAGATAGTCATCACTTTTTCTACAGCATGACATTAAATGACTGTATTGTTGTGTGCTGCCACCTACAGGGTGCTGCTGGAGTTGCTGGAGCTCCTGGTTTCCCTGGACCCCGTGGACCCCCAGGACCTCAGGGTGCTGCTGGTGCCCCCGGACCCAAGGGCAACACTGTAAGTAAAGATCTCTTAGATCCAAAAAAAGCAAAATCACCCAAAATTTAAACTTGTATGTTTTGTGTGAATACTTTGACAGTTACAACCTACAGAGATAAAAATAAAAGTTAGAGATTTGTTTTGGGCATTTGTTGTTTGCTGAAATTATTTTTCTTTTAGATTTATCCAAATAATAGTAATTTCTCCCTAGTTTGTAGTTTGTTTAATTTTATGTTTTCTTGTTTGTTTGTGTCCCATAGGGTGAGGCTGGTGCCCCAGGATCCAAGGGAGAGCCTGGTGCCAAGGGAGAGGCTGTGAGTTCACCATAGATCATGACAGAGCACACTGCACTAAAATTATGTGTGTATCAGCCTCTTATGCCACATTGCATGTTACATTGCTCTTCTACAGGGTGTTTCAGGAGTTCAGGGACCCCCTGGACCTCCCGGTGAGGAGGGCAAGAGAGGAGCCAGAGGAGAGCCTGGTGCTGCAGGAGCCCGTGGCGGCCCTGGAGAGAGAGTATGCATCTCACTGGATTCCACTTTATCCGTACCCTAATCTGTAAAATGATGGCAGAGGGACCTCTAGTGGTGTTTCAACACAAAGGACAAAAGACTGAAATCTTTATACTGATGGTCAAATCTAAATGATTGAGATTACTTGTGTGCAGCTGTAAACATTACAAAGGTTAGTTTGACTGAAAAAGCAGATTAATCTCTGCTTGGAATGAAAACATAATAAACACCATTGGGCTCTTAATCATGATGTAAACAAACACTCTAATGAGTGAGGTTCAAAATGTTCCCAAAACATTTGACCAAGAGTATTACAGATATGGACATACTGAGTGGTGCTAGTACTAAGATAGAAACATTCATTTCATTGGTTAAAAGCATTAAGTCTTTTGGATGTTAATTTAAGTTAAAAATGATGCCAGAGACCTGAGGCCCAGATCTCTCTGATGGAATTCGACTGTATACATGATACAGGGTGTTCAATTTTAAACCTACAGTTCGGACACATTTCTGTTTAAACACTTTTTACTGTTCAGAGCTAAGCAGGACATGTTTGATTGTCTTTACAGGGTGCCCCTGGTGGTCGTGGTTTCCCTGGTTCTGATGGCCCTGCTGGACCCAAAGTAAGGAAAATGCACACATACATACAACAGATATAAACCTTAATTCCGCCCGCAGGCTTCCACAATTTTGGTTTAACTAATTTTTGAATTTCTACCATTCTTATTTTCTTCTTAGGGTGCCAATGGTGAGCGTGGTGCCCCCGGTCTTGTTGGAGCTAAAGGTGCCACTGGTGAGTCTGGCCGCACTGGTGAGCCTGGTCTGCCCGGAGCTAAGGTGGGATAGCATACTGTCTGTCAAATAATTCTCTGCAGCATCATTTATTCATTATACCCAGTCCCTCCTCTGACCTCTGACCTCTGCTTTGTAGGGAATGACTGGCAGCCCCGGCAACCCTGGACCTGATGGCAAGATGGGACCTTCTGTAAGTTTGTATGCAGTATAGTTAACCCTAGTTCCTATAATTTATGTCAAGAAAGAGCAAAACCCTTAACATGCTTAATCTTCCTTAACAGGGAGCCCCCGGACAAGATGGCCGCCCTGGGCCTCCTGGCCCTGGTGGAAATAGAGGCCAGCCTGGAGTCATGGGATTCCCCGGACCCAAGGGTGCTGCTGTGAGTAGCGTTACAACATCTATACATTATATTTAATCATGCTTAGTAATAGTGGGCATCTAAAATATGGTCTCCGTGTTTTTTTGTCTATAGGGTGAGCCTGGAAAGCCCGGTGAGAGAGGAACCATGGGACCTACTGGACCTGTTGTGAGTGCTCAATATTCTGCTGTTTTCTTTCTTGTTATCTATCATCAATGGTAGGATTGTGTGTGTTAAAGCCTTCTATCTCTCTACCCAGGGTGCACCTGGAAAGGATGGTGATGTTGGCGCACAGGGCCCCTCTGGACCTGCTGTAAGTAAACAACACTAACTGGCTACACTTCGATATTAGCACCCAAGTTTGTGTTGATGTCTCTCTACTGAAAGCTACATAGCTGCAAGAATAAGTCACATCTACTCAATGCATTACTGCCACCGTTGCTGACTCTCCCTCTCTGCTCATCTTAAGGGTCCTGCTGGTGAGAGAGGAGAGCAGGGACCTGCTGGATCTCCTGGATTCCAGGGTCTCCCAGGACCCCAGGGAGCCATTGGTGAGAGTGGCAAGCCCGGAGAGCAGGTACTGATTGAAGCGGAACTATGACTGGAACAGCATCATTTCCAGTGAATAAAAGTGCTTATTCCTGTATTTCTGTTTTTCCTTTTAGGGTGTACCTGGCGAAGCTGGAGCCCCAGGACCTGCTGGAGCTAGAGTAAGTCACATATCCTCATAATTTTCACAGTTAGATAAGACTCTAATTGTGGTTTAAATATAATTAAATATATTCATTAGTTCTTTTGTCCAAAATCCTACATGGTGTAGAAAACAACTTCCTAAGTTGCTAACTAGCTTGTTCAAACACATTAAAGTTATTACTAGCAGCTTATAACTGCTTTTTTATTCTTTAAAGTGGATTCTTGTCCAAAATGCTCGATGTTAGACCTGGAAAACAACTTTTAGCCTGCTAACTAGCCAGCTACTTTCAATATTAGGATTGCTAACAAGCTACTGTATCATTAATAGTGATAGCAACTATGCAGATGCTATCACTAGCTTCAACTCACTTTACCTGTAAACAAAACAAAGGTACCATACCAGTGTCGATATGGTCACAGGAGGAAAACCCTTGCACTGCCATTTACAAAGTAGCGCTTCGTGTTGATCAGACATTCTGTTTTACCCTGTCATTCATAAATGAACAGATAAATTATGATGAAAGCTTCACCTCACATATGAACCTCCCTTTGGGGAATATCATCCAACTAGAACTGATATTAGATTAGATTAGATTAGATTAGATTAGATAGAACTTTATTAATCCCTCGGGTGGGTTCCTCTGGGAAATTCGATTTCCAAAAAGCACAGCACCGACAGAAGTTTCAGAGTTACAGAATATTATATATATATATAT